TTTGCAGAAATGTTTAGATTCAATAAAGTTGACTGACAAAACTCAGTGTCCATCTTGTCATTCATGCACACACATCACTCAAGTCGTTTAGGGAGGACAGAACGCTGCGTTTGAGTGACAGCTTCTATCTTGAGCTTTAAGTGTCAGATAACTGAAAGTTCAAGTGCTCCTGCGAGGTCGCCATGGCAACTGTGCTCTCTACTGTCACACTATCTACAAGTGCTTTGGGTCATGCTGACACAACCGAATGTCCCTTACATTGATAACATACTAGATATAGCTCTGAATCAGGTTGGACATAAGGTGCGAATTATTCAGGGAATCCCTGCAAATAGGCAACATTTGTTCATCTACATGTAATCATGAAGAAAATATAATAAAATAAACAGAGGGATTGACTAAGATTTCTTAATTAAAAAAATTCAAGAACTGAGCCTGTTAATCTGGACAAAGGTGTATGAGGTTAATTAAACTTAAATGCACAGGTTACAATATTATGATTTCAAAATGTCCATTCTTTCCATTCATAACATGTTCAAGTTCAAGGCATGTCAAATTGTCGACTACAAATTTCAAAATAAAGTTTCTTCAGTAGTTATTTGACATTATACTGTAACTTTACACAACCATTTGAAAGTTTGATAAGATTCTTTCAATTCAATTCAAGTTAATTTGTATAGCGCTTTTCACGACACAAATTGTTGCAAAGCAGCTTTACAGAAAATTACGTTTTTACAATATATTCAGTAGTAACTTATCAGTGGTGACTATGTTGATGTACATATGGCAGAAATGTACAGTAAAATTCAGTTAATGACGTAATCAAACAGACGATGAACACTATTAACAGCAATGATTATATGTTGCAATCAAACTTGTTAGTTGATTGATAGTTTATGTTGTTTCAGGGTTGGCATCATCTGAGGTCCTCTGAGGGGTTGGCATCATCTCTTCTCAGGTGTTCGGTCATCTCAGGTTTTTGTAAGGGCTGGATCCAGACTGAAGCTTGTGTCATTTTCCTAGTTTGTGTAATTCCTAGTTATTGGCAGAAACAAAGAAACAAATAGAGACATAATTAGCATAGCTGCTGTTCCAACCAAGCTAAGGAATAATAATGTGCATTTGATCAGATATAACTGCAGTACAAGATTATGAGAGGCATTATTTGAATGCTTGGCCAAAGAGATGTGTCTTTAGTCTAGATTTAAACAAAGAGAGTGTGTCTGAACCCCACACGTTATCAGGAAGGCTATTCCAAAGTTTTGGAACCAAATGTGAAAAAGCTCTACCTCCTTTAGTGGACTTTGCTATCCTAGGTACTAACAAAAGTCCAGAGTTTTGCGACCTTAGGGAGCGTGATGGATTGTAGCATGGTAGAAGACTAGTTAGGTACGCATGAGCTAAACCATTAAGGGCCTTGTATTTAAGTAATAATATTTTGTAACTGATACGGAACTTAATAGGTAGCCAGTGCAGAGACTGTAAAATTGGGGTAATATGATCATATTTTCTTGACCTGGTAAGGACTCTAGCCGCTGCATTTTGGACTACCTCTAGCTTGTTTATTGAAGATGCAGGACAACCACCTAGCAGTGCATTACAATAGTCCAGTCTAGAGGTCATGAATGCATGACCGAGCTTTTCTGCATCAGAAACCGGTAACATGATTCGTAACTTGGCAATGTTTCTAAGATGGAAGAATGCTGTTTTTGTAACATGGGAAGTATGATTTTCAAAAGACAAGTTGCTGTTTAATATAAAACCCAGATTTTTGACTGTAGAGGAAGTAACAGTACATCCTTCTAGTTGCAAATTGTAATCCAAGAGATTCGTGTACTGTTTTTTGGTCCAATAAGTAATGTCTCTATCTTATCCGAATTCAATAGGAGAAAATTATTGGTCATTCAATCTTTTAAATTTTTAACACACTCTGTTAGCTTAGATAATTTAGAAGTTTCATTTGGTCTTGTTGAGATATATAGTTGAGTACCATCAGCATAACAATGGAAACTAATTCCGTATTTTCTAATAATATTACCAAGGGGCAACATGTATATTGAAAATAGCAGAGGACCTAGGACAGATCCTTGTGGCACTCCATATTTTACTGGTGATAATTGAGATGACTCCCCATTTAAATGAACAAAATGGTAGCGATCGGACAGGTAGGATCTAAACCATCTTAAAGCCTGCCCTTGAAGACCTGTATAGTTTTGTAATCGATCTATGAGTATATCATGATCTATAGTATCAAACGCAGCACTAAGATCAAGTAAAACTAGCAATGAGATGCAGCCTTGATCTGACGCAAGAAGCAAGTGTCTGGAAATTCCCAATATTAATCTGACTTCACCACGGACAACTCAAACAACTACAGTTGTTAATATAATAACTACAGTATCTCGGGCTAATTCCCTGAATTCCCCGAATACTTAGCTCTATAGTCTTCCAACACTATCACTGTCTTTGCGGTGGTCTTTTGAGCGTAGAATCTTTAGTACTTCTATTTCTCAGCTGTGCAGCATATACCAGACACAACTCCCAAGATGCTCTTTGCAGGAATGAAAGTTTATTCACGGCCGGGAGCCCACTTGTCACAACAACCATCGACTTCCTGAACAGAAGGATGCATGAACATTTATACCTTGTTGTTGAGTAAAAATCAATGTCACTCAAGTCTTCTTCACTGTAATTGGTTATACTGATCTGGTCATTGGTTTGTCATATGACTGTTAGTTCTACTGTTTTAAGCACTTTTTGGGTAAGTATAGATTATTTAATCATAGGGACACGGTCTTTGATCTGAGCATTCTTAGTCTGCACTTTTCTGAACATTCTATGTTGAACATACCCATTTGACTCCTTCTGAGGCCATTACATAAAATATTTCCATCACACAAGTCATTTGTAATTTTAACAAGTGCAGTTTCTTTGCTATGGCGGGGCCTATGAAATTCTTCATAGAGATAATTTTTTTGCAAGAAGGAGCACAATTGAGCAGACACAACTTTTTCTAAAATTGTAGACATAAACAGAAGATTTGAAATGGGTCTGTAATTTGCCAGTTCACTAGGATCTAGTTGTGGTTTCTTAACAAGAGGCTTAATAACCGCCAGCTTGAATTGTTTTGGGACGTGACCTAAAGATAACGACAAGTTAATAATATTGATAAGCGGTTCTTCTGCTACAGGTAACAACTCTTGCAGTAATTTAGCGGGTACAGGATCTAATAGGCATGTTGTTGGTTTAGATGCAGTGATAAGTTTATTTAGCTCTTCCTGTCCTATATTTGTAAAGCACTGCAGTTTTTCTTTGGGTGCGATGAATGAAGCTGAAGTACTAGATGCTGTAGAATCTAAATGTGTTATTGTATTTCTGATGTTATCTATTTTATCAGTGAAGAAATTCATAAAGTCATTACTATTAAACTGTGAGGGAATATTTAGATTGGGTGGCGTCTGGTTATTTGTTAATCTAGCCACTGTGCTAAATAAAAACCTTGGATTGTTTGCGGATTGAGTTTGCGGATATGCTCAGTCCTGGCAGCTTTTAGAGCCTTTCTATAGCTGAACATAGCTGGACGCAATGCTAAAACAATTCTTAATATTTTATAAGATTCTTAATATTTTTGAAAGAGGTTTCCCACCAAGTCTGTATAAAATGATCAAAAATACAGTAAAAATAGTAATATTTTTAAATATTATTACAATTTAAAATAACTGTTATTTCAACATATTTTACAATCTTTAAAGTCTGTGATGGAAAGCAAAATTTTCAGCATCATTACTTCAGTCTTCAGTGTCACGTGATCCTTCAGAAATCATTCTAATATAATTATTCGGTGCACAAGAAACATACACAAAACAGTTGTGATGTGTAATAGTTTTGTGGAAACTGTGATCCATTTTTTGATGAATAGAAGGTTTTAAAAAGAAGAACAGCATTTATTTGAAATAACGTTTTGTGACAACTTTTGTGACATTCTTAATGTCTTTACTGTTACTTTAATCCTTGCTGAATAAAAGTATTAATTTCATAAGAGAAAAAAAATCTACTAACCCCAAACTTTTGAACAGTAGTTTATGTTCAGTAAAGAACATTCTTATTAAGAACCATTGAGAAACGTTATATAAATATAGATGTATTATAGGTTTCATAATTGCTTCTGTTGGTTTTGATACTATATACAGTAACACACAAGTACACATATTGTTTAAAAAAAAAAAACTAAATAACTTTTTAATGGAACTTGAAATGTTCGCTGATGGTTATATAATTCTAATTGGTTCTAAATGGAATCTTTATTTAAAGAATGAAGAGAAGCTTTTAAGCAGAATGCAGTGACGCAGTTGATTCATCTCTGTGAGTATGAATACCAACCTCAGGCAGGACTTGTTTGTTTGGTAAGATGTATTTATGATGCCTTGCCATTATTCAAAAGCACAAGCACTTTAAGTATTTATGTTCTTTCACTCGTCTACAAAACAGTATATTCAAATGAGTTGTCCTTGAATGTGTTCTTTGATTATATATGCATACAGAAGTGCCTGAAGGTGTTGTTATTTTGTTGAAGGCCAGACTCTCACCTGTAGGAGGAGCTATGGCTCATAACATGTGCTATTACTAGGAGCAGTGAAGATTAGATATATTTCCATTCTGTCCTTATTTACTGTCCATATTAGCACACGGGGGTTAGAGCATTTAGGACAGTTACAGTGTGATTGAATAAAAACATAACATACATTAAAATATTTGTACGTTTCTGGTCTTTTTTGAAATGCAGGAGATTGTCAATAAGGTTTCCTCATCCTAGTTTGAATGCACATCAAGCAGCATCTATGAGGTTACATGCAGCAGAGAGGGGAGAGGGAGCAGATAGAGGGAGAGATAAAGAGAGAGAAAGTGAGTGAGTGTTTGCATGTGTGTGAGAGAGCGGGGGGAGCAAAGAGGAAAAGAGAGAGAGTGAGACAAAGAAAGAGAGAGAGCAAACACAAGGATAGCAGGCTTGACATATACATATTCGCAGTGAACAAACAGAAATCCTAATGCCAGAGAAAGACAGACGAAGCCAGTGAGAGAAGAAGGTCACCTCTAGAGCAGTGAAGGAACGGTACGTCAGCTTCACTCTGTTTATTGTGACCATAAAGTCAGGGCTAAGTTAGGTTTCTTGAGTGCATGAAGCATCTGTTGGAAAGTATTTGCAGCAAAATTGATTTCAGTGCATTGCAAATAGATTGTAAATGAAATGTCTTTGAACCTATAGACCCTCATGCACGCTCCTCTGATAAGTCTTATTTGTCCTTGGGAAATGATATGCAATGTTGGCACTTCACAGGGGGGTCATACCTGAAGACTGAACTCTGGAAGTCTGGAAATGGGAATTCGGGAGGTCCTACTTTAAACGGAAGAAGACATTTTGATGCCAAACCATTGAAAGACGACCAGGGAACACAGCATTACTGAGTGTCACAATGGAGAAACTCTCTGAAAAAGATAAAGGTCTGATCCGGGACAGCTGGGAGAATCTGGGGAAGAACAAGGTGCCACATGGAATTGCTATGTTCACGAGGTAATATATCAATCTCAATGCATGCTGGCTAAAACTGTTTTGCAGCAAGGGATAATGCTATTTAATTTAGTCTGCATGTTTATTTAGAAAGTTGCAAGTAGAGCTGTGCGGATCATGTACATATACGCTGCTTTTGTGGGACAGATGCATTTGTCAAAAATAGGAATTTAATAAAATAATTATATTCAGTAATGAATAATGCATTTAAAATAATGAACTATTTTTAAAGTAAACACATTTTTAGATTTTTAAGCAAATAAATCGCACTTAATCATGCAATCAAAATGGAGTGTCCTTGCATTCCATAACTACAGATTGTACTCATAATGAAGGTATAGCAATTTAATAAACAAACTAAAGTGTAATGTCTTTCAATCCATCAAAAAATCTCCATCAGTCTCCCGCTGTCTGTTCCTCTAACCGTAGCTCAGTAAGAAGCTTGACTTGTTGCTTGGCGACAGGGAGCAGCAAGATCATTTTCATCAGAATCACCTTCTCAGAAGAAAGATGCTACCAAGTATCACTTTTCTGAGTATTGCTTTTCAAACTCAGCATAAAGGATAAAAGTGACTTTATTTGAAAGAAGAGGGGATTTAAGCTACAAAGGAAAAAGGATATGCATTGTTCTGTTCAACATCAAATGGCTTAAATGACCTAATTTAATTGTCCTTCTTGTTAAGGAAATGTGAAATAAGCAATTGTGGTTGAAGATCCATGTCAATGAACTGCTTTGTAGTGCTGCCTGATTAAATGTAACATTTCTTGTCAGGTTATTTGAGCTGGATCCAGCACTGCTTACTCTCTTCAGCTACAGCACAAACTGTGGGGATGCACCTGAATGTCTCTCCAGCCCAGAGTTCCTTGAGCACGTCACCAAGGTGAGCCCAGAGGTCAACTGTACAACAACTGGTAGAGTAAAAGTTCAGGAACCTACTTTTGGGCAGTTTCTCAATACATTTTCTTATGCTATTTTGTGTCCTTGTGTTTTCGCTGTACATCATTATCAACTGCCAATGTTCAATTCCAATAATTGGAAAAAAAAACAAAAAAACATGAGTAAATAACTAAGTAAATGTTTCAATTATTGTGCATTAAATTGTGCTACTACTTAAAATGTGTTGGGGCGGTCAGTTGAGCAACAAGATCACAGCATATGCATCATATGCAAAAAATGCATTTTGTGTCCTCGTATCCATTCAAGTTCTTTTAAGGTAGCCTGGCAAGACCTAGTCTCACTTAACCAGACCTTAAGAATGAAGGCAGAAGGTCTGGGAACCTTGGCCACTTTGAATGGCCAAGGAGTGCCGAAAGAGGCCATATGACTGACAGGTAAAGCAACCAATCACGTTTCGTTTTGTGCCACGTCATGTTTAGGGGCGAGAAAATGTCCAGACAAAAACAGACCTTTGTGTAAAACTCTTGGACATATTTGAAAGGGTCTATGCCACAAAGTTTACATATTTCATATACTTTTGAAAATCTAGTGTTTAGTTGATAATAAAAAGCACTGATTGTCACAGTTGTAAACACAACGGCTTTGTTCCTCCATGAGGGGGTTTGGAGCCACGGCATCTTTGTTTCCAGGCGGAACATATGTCTCATGGAAATTCTGTAGAATTCAACCAATCAGATGGTGGACGTGACGTCTGAGGCTGAGACTAGGCAAGACCAGTCTTCATGAGAGCGCATGGCTGTTCTTTGCGTTCTTAGAACTTAGAAACAGTCCTGGTGTGGCATTGTTGGTAAAGTAGTTGATGGGCCGGTAGCTGAAAAGTTGGTTCCTCACAAAGAGTAAAGGATGTGTCTAGATGGACATTTTAATACTAATCCCCCACCTACGGCAAAATTGCGTAAAAGCTGCATTTGCTCCCATTATATGTCAAAAGTTATGTGTTGATATGTTTGGCTGTTGTTTGTTGCACCATAGAGCCACATGGTTCATTTAGGACCAGAGTGTCCAATCCTGTCCTGGAGGACCCTGTTCCTGCAGAGTTTAGCTCTAACCCCAAATAAACACACCTGAACTAGCAAGACATCCAAACAGTTGTGTTGGAACAGGATGAAGCTAAACTCTGCAGGAGGCAACTTTCCAGATTTTTGGGCAGTTTTTGGACACCCCTGATTTAGGCTGTAATGATTCTTTCTATTGACTAACTTTGACCCAACCTCTGAGTTTACAGCCCAGCTCAAGACCGACTGTATATTTGTCCAGGTGATGTTAGTTATCGATGCAGCTGTGAGCCATCTTGATGACCTACATACATTGGAGGACTTCTTGTTGAACCTGGGCAGGAAGCACCAGGCAGTTGGGGTGAAGACTCAGTCCTTTACTGTGAGTACACTTTGCCTACATGGTTTAGTTATGATGACTGAAATTACATCCGTAACAATCAAACGTCAAAGATGACAGTGAGATTGACAGTGATCTTCGGGGAGAGTCACAGTGATTTTCTAGACCATTGATTGATTGACTGGGTTCTTTCACATGTTCCTTAGATGGTTGGAGAGTCCCTGCTCTATATGCTTCAGTCCAGCCTGGGTCCAGCTTACACGACACCGCTGCGCCAGGCTTGGCTCAATATGTACAGCATCGTGGTATCAGCCATGACCAGAGGCTGGGCCAAGAATGGCGAACATAAGTCCAACTGAGAAGGAGGTAGATGTGAGATTCACACTGGAACACCCTTGAGGTCACAAACTAACTTCTCAAAAATCCTTTAAAAGAGTGAGGGGCTTGGATATGGGACCACCATTGGGAAAATCAGTTCAGCTGAGTTGTATTTTGGCTCACTGAACAGTCCTAACTTTGGTAGCTTGGTCTAACTGCAGACTGAGATTGTTGATAACGAAGCCTATGAGGTTGAAGTATGCTTATTAAGAGTGCAGGTCATAGTTTATGGTTGAAACTTCAAAAGCAAAATTTGCTTTGTACATACAGTAATGACTAAGTACATATAGTAATGACTAAATGTATTTCCTTAAACTATCTTTAATGACTGTCTTGATGTATTGATGTTTCATGCGAGCGTAAAACAGAGGTTTGACTATGCACATGTGAGCTTGGTCAACTTGAAAAAGTTTTATTCTGACACCTCTTGGAATCAATTTAGATGAAACCACTACAATTTAACCCTAAATTACACAGAATTAATACTCTAGCCTGTGCTGTGTGTAGTTTAAGTTTACTGTAAGTTTAGTGATGTTCACTAAGTTATCTGAGCATGAACATAGTAGTATTTGGCAATATGGTTCAAATGATAGCATCAAAGACAATAAGCAATCAGTAGCCATGATTTTTTGACACCATCCAAATGTTCATGTGAAATGTTGTTTGCCACATTTTTCAACCATTAACAGTATTTATGGCGATGAAAGTAAATGACAAGAACTGTTACATCCGAAATAGCTTTTGGAATTTTTTGACTGTTAATTTATGAACCTGTGCCATGTCATTAGTTTACATTTCCATTGTATGGGATTATACTCGACGCACTCTACTCCAAGGCTTACTTACGAAAGACTTGTGTAGACTGTTACTTCACATAAAGTGACTGTTATATCATAGTGAGATGATTTGTTCACCTATAATACAATTGTAGATAGTCAAAAAGTCTTTGTGCTAAATGACCCAGTCCAGTGGGTGTTAGCTATAAATAAGAATTTTATTTCACAATTTTTGTTATCAATTTTTGTGAATAATATTTAAAAAAAATAGTAAATTGCATTAGTTGGCTTATTACAACCTTGTAAGTTAAGAACATACACACTCTTATCTAAGATAAGAAGAATATTTGTTGCCATAATTATGAGCTATAGAAAAATGTTAAAAGCGATGATAACCTTTTTGCTGCTATTCAATAGCTTTGTAGAAATGTTGTCCTCTTTATATGAGAGATATTTCTACATTTAAATGGTTCAGGCCAAGTATTTCAAAGTGCGTAGGACTGTCACAGATATTGAAACTGCTGGTATGTTACATTTTACATGTTACTTTATATGACAATACCTACTAGCCTTTTCTGTATATTTAGGTGTATGTGGATTGATTATTTAATTTTATGTATTGCTCAATGGTGCACTATTATACTTTTTGTGTAAAATGTATATATATTTTTTCTCTTTTTCTGAATATGTATGTACCACCTAATGGCTTTCCAATAACCTCTAAGATGTCTGTCTTTATGGAATGATTAGCTTATTAGTATTGAAAATCTTTTATGAAGATGCAATGGTTACAACATTTTCAAGTGAAAGATGATGTTTATTGACCATTGAAGTGTTGTGTGTATGTGTGTGTAGTGTTTGCTTCTGTGCTTTTTCTCTTGATATTCTGTGACTGAATTGTCTCCATGTCTACCTCACTGACAGCTGATATTAAACAGCGATGTTATGACCTGGCTCCTCAGTAACCAAAAAGTTATATTTCAATTACACTGTACATCCTTATTCCTCAGCCAGTCACCAATCAAACTAGAATCAGGATCAGTCAAGGCTCTATGTTAACGTGTTGGAAGCTTATTTGTAATAAAGGACAGAAATAAAGAAAATCTTGCATATGGGTCTTTGCTGGAAATGAGTGTATGGAGTTTCCATTTCAACATATTTGATCGCTCTATAGACCTCCTTATCATATTTATAATATTAGAAGTCAATCTCAGCATACAGTGGCATATATTTAATTTGGAAAAATGATAACTGCTGAACTTCATTAACTTTAAGGGACATATAGTGACATTTTTACATGGCTAATTCTTAAATGACCCTGAATCCTAAATATGTATAGTTTCAGCCTTGCTGTGACTAAAATGTATTTAGCTATTTTTCTTAATGACCCTAAGTTCAAACCGTAAAAACATTATTTTATTTACCATTGTTATTAAATTTGGAAATCATATTTTTTATAATCACAATAAACAGTTCTCTTTTAAACCATGTTTACTTCGACCCTACTACATTTTATGTTTAATTTTTTAGAGTTAAATCTAATAATGGGCTTGCACATATCATTGCACCATGCCACATTATTTGCAGTCAGTATACAGTTTTGCCCACATAACAGAGTTGAACAGTTGATAAGGCCAATATGTGTACAAAAGTGTAAACATTATGAAAAACTGATATAAACTTGAAGAGAAACCTTGGAAAAAAGTGCTCCCTTACAACCCATTATTTTGAAATTGGAAAATTTCACAGCATAACAATGTTATGCTATTGGTAATATTGTTATGCAATGTTATTCTTCAGAAAATGTATAAATCAATAAATTAAGATATAGACATTTAAAAGGATAGATCACCCAAAAATGATAATTCTGGCATTATCTGGCAACCCTCGTGTTGTTCCAAACCCGTAAGACCTTCGTTCATCTTCAGACACAAATTAAGATATTTTTGATGAAATCCGAGAGCTTTCTGACCCTCCCATAGACAGCAAGGGAACGGACACGTTCAAAGCCCAGAAAGATAGTAAGGACATCATCAAAATAGTCCATGTGACATCAGTGGTTCAACCTTAACTTAATGAAGCAACAAAAATACTTTTTGTGTGCAAAGAAAACAAAAATAATGACTTTATTCAACCATTTCTTCTCTGACTGCTCCTGCTTCAGCAGCACCATACGCATGTGCCGTGGTACTCTTGTGAATTAAGTCGTTATTTTAGTTTTTTTGCGGACAAAAATATTCTCGTAGCTTCATAAAATTACGGTTGAACCACTGATGTCACATGGACTATTTTAACGATGTCCTTACTACCTTTCTGAGCCTTGAACGTTTCAGTTGTGTTGCAGTCTATGCAGGGTCAGAAAGCTCTTGGATTTCATCAAATATTTAATTTGTGTTCTGGAGAATGAAGGAAGGCCTTACGGGTTGGAA